AGAAAGCGGGGTCTCAGAAAAGGAGGGGGATATGTCTCCAGGCTGACATCCAGGAGTGGGTGGTGCAGGAGTCTGAGGCAGTTAAAGGATGGGGCAGGTGTTCCAGGTGTCCCAGCTATGACCTAGTGCCCCTTCCCATTCCCAGCATGCCTACCCAGGGCCAAGGCCGCCTCTGACCCCATTGGGCAGATTGCAACATGTGTGGGGTTGGTGTGGAGGAAAAAGTGAGAAGCAGCCCCCCGCTACCGGGTTTGCTCAGGATTAGGCAGATTGAGGGAAGCAAACAAGAGTAGGACCTCAATGTCCTGTCCCTGAACAGAGATGCCAAGTGGACAAACAGGCCCTTCCCTCCCCTCCAGGAACCCCGTTGTTGACTTGCTACCCGCGAGGTTTACTGAGAGGCTGGTGACCTCCTCCCGCTATGGCCCTGTGCTGAGAGAGATGTCTGGTACAAAAGCCAGCTGGATACCCACACCCAGGCTGCACTGGCCTCTCCCCAACAAGCTCATACCACCTAGCCTCGGGGCCCCTGTGGTGACTGAGCTATGGAAGCCCCAACCCAATCAAAGGACACACCCCATGCAGATCTGGGCACGGGGAAAGGGAAGGCATAGCCGTCTTGCACAACTGGTCTCTTGTCAGAGACATGGGTCGAGAGAACTCCACTATCATGTCCAGACGCTCCCTGTCCCAGGGCCCTCTCATGTCCCCCATAGCAGGGAAGGGGCAAGGAAAAGAAGCACATTGCCTGTGAGTTCGTGCGAGCTGCCCGAGGCCAGTGTGTTCTGAGCTGTCACCAGTGTCATCGTGAGAAATCCAAAAGGATACAATGGATGCCTGAAGGGATGACTTAGTCACAGGGTCTCTTGCCCAGAAAGTTCAGACTCCTATGCCTGGAGAGGGGCTGCCAGTGGAGGCCCAGAGATGATCACCTCAGAGCTACTGCCATGCCTCTCCTTGAGAAGAGGAGAAATTGTGTTACTGTCTGAGGAGTGGAGGGAGTTCCTTCCTGCGGGGCCCAGACTGCCCAGGTGAGCCTGAGCATCCACATCCACACATCAGCCTGAGACCTGCAGGTATGACCAAACACACCCCCGCATGCGAACAAGGGAGCAATCGTACCAAGCTCTCTAGAAGAAGAATTTGCAAACCAGCCCAGTCATCACTGCAGAGATGTTTTGGAGGTGTGGATGCAATCTCAGGACAGCTGTTTAACATCCCAGGTTTCAGGGAGCTGCCAGGGACTTCCTAAGCTAACACAGGATCTGGTCCCACCAGGGCTGCCTTAGCAGAGAACCAAGAACGTGGGGCTTAAAGTGCATTCTGAGTATATGGTTTCTATACTGGGGTCCTTCTTCCCAGGTCCCCCAGGGTTCACAGCAAGAAAGGGAGTCTCAGGGGTGCTCATTAAGGCTCGAGAGCTGCCTGCTGAAGACAGGCAGTCAGACTGTGGGAGCTTTTGGGCAGAGGGTCAGTAGGAAACCGATGTATTCACAGAGGAAGCCCCAGACCCGGCTTCATGTTGAGCAAGGCTGGGTGGGGAGGGCGCTGCCCCCATCCTGGTATTACTGGCTGGGGTGCAGGAAGAAATCTGATTCCAGAAGCTACAGGAACATCTGATTGCCCCATCCCCCGACTATGTTTCAGTACGTGAGGTAAGGCGTCCCTGTTCCCTGGGAAATGTCAGAGGTGTGGTCTCTGGGGGGCTAGCCCACTCTTCAGCACAGCCGAGGTGCTCTCTGGGCCCCTCTGGGTGGGAGGATGAGAACGGAGCCAGGGTGTGGGTACAGTGAGGCTGTCCTGGCAGGTGCCCTTAGATACTTCTGCCACCCTCAGTGTCCCCAGCTCAGACCTCTAAGGCCAGAACCCTTTGTACTCTTAGATGAGGAAATGGGCTGAGACACCATGAAAGGATATCGTCAGGTGGGCCTGAGCTGGGCACAGGCCTGGGGACCTGCTGATTGTCACAGAACCCCTTGCCTTGAAGGAAGATGGGTTTACACTTGGCTGTGTTGGCTGTGATCTGTCCTGGGGACATTTGCATGCTGATACTCTCCCTGACAATCCCATCAGGTCTCAGAAATTCAGAACTCAGTAGTGGGGTCTCAGGGGCAGACCTAAGTATAGCCCTGTATACCCACTTCTGGGCATAGGCACAGCCTCAAGTGCCAACCCTTCATTATCTTAACCTTTGGAAGACCACAGATCCGCTGGTGTTAGGCAATGGGACTGAGGAGGTCTTTCTCCTCTGACCCTCCATGGGCCACCATCCCCTCTCAGCTTTGTGCTGCTCCCTCTTGCCCACAGACAGCTAGACTGGGGTTCCCTTTCCACTCCGCCTTCCAGGACAGTCACAGGGAACTGGCCTCAGACTAAGCAGGTTTCCCACTGCAGGTGAAAGCAAGGTGCTGAGGGTATTGGATGAGGGGTCAGGAGCCTACCCTGCCCTCTGTCTATCCTGTTCTCAACTTGGAAGCTCCCAAAACATGGAGGGTGGAACTAAACTTTGTGCCTCCTACAAAGCTCCCAAAGCTAGTTCTTCTCAAGACCTCGCGGCCTCTGGAGCAGCTGGGCAGCCCAGGTCTATGGGGCCTCATTCAGATATGTTTTCTTGCCCTGTCCCGTGTAAAGTCCAGGGTGTGGGGTCAAGGGGCTACCCCTGCGGTCAGGGTGTAGACTACCGAGGTGTGTGGGGGCCCCCGTCCCGCTCTTCAGCTCTTTCCAGAAACAGTGCATTGCACAATTTGGCCGAGGCTGCGGTGGGCAGGGTGTGCAGGTAAAGAAGGTAACCACTCCCACCCAGAGGCATGCGATCCGGTTGCTTCCTGCCAACACACCTGCCATGGTTCTAGGCAGAAGTGACGCAGACGGAGGACCTCGGCCTACGGGTACTCCGAGAGCTAGGGGATTAGTCACCACCGCACTACCCACTCGGAGAGGAAGAGGCGGCTCTCTAGATACCTGATCCTCTCCAGGGGCAATGACACTGATTAGAGCCTGGCAGCCACTGAGAGGTCAGTGGGGTGAGCCAGGCGGCCAAGCAGACCTGCAGAGCCAGTGAGCCTCAGGGTTCACGCAAAGGGTCACAGGGTCTCGGCCAGGGAGTGGCCGTGTCAGCACTGACCATGGATAGGAATCAGGCTTTGAGGCAGCCCATATCACTGGAAGTAAATAGCCCAAGCAAGCAGAGAGGCTATAGGAACTCCTAATAGCACACAGGCAGGACTTGTCTGCCTGAAACCCAATGCCAGGAAATATTGTAAGACCGGCCATTAGTCCAAAACCCTTTTTGACCTAGGGACCCGATAGGGATTGGGTGTATCTCTGGTGACCCCTGATTTCCTAAGCTTGAAGGCAGAAAGGACCTGAAGGTGCCTTAGGGACCAGCCCAAGTCTTACTGGCAAAGCAGGCAGACAGGTGGAAGGACTGTGGTTCTCCAGCTGAACCCAAAGCTTGCCTGTCCAGTGGGAATGCTTGGGAAGAACTGAAGGGCTGTCCTTACCCTCTCCTCTGGACCCTGGAGCCCCGAGATTCCGGGGAATGCCTGTCTTCTCTAGCGCTTCAGCTCTACTTTGGGCTGTTCTCAGGGGACAGTCCACCCAAGGACAAAAGCCCAGATCCAGAACACTACAAAGGTACAGAGCTGAGCTTGCACCACTTTATGGCGGCTTTGAGGAACACAACTGAACTCCCAAAGCAGGTTTCCCAACCGGCCATGAAGGGTTGCAGGCCCCTGGGCCCCAGACCTGAGCCTGGTTCTTGTATCTGAGACAGCATAAAATAGAAGCAATGGGCATTGGATTCCTGGAGGCTGGGTTTGGATACAGGAGTCCGGACTCCCATGTACACTAGGCTGGCCACCAGCATGCTGCCTTGGTGGGTGAGACAAAGACCTGGATGTGGGAACTGTGTTCTTCCCCTCATGCCACACCAGAGACATTTGGACAGTCTGAACACACCCCACACTGCCCAGTGACTGCAGGTCTGAAGACCCTTGCCTGAGCCCCAGGATCCCTCTGGGCATCCAACAGGTCTGTTTATCTCCTGCCCTGCCAAGAGATAGCTCCAGCCTCTAAGCAAATGTCTGGGTCCAAAAAGGCATATTACTCCCCTCCTCCCCCGCCGCCCCAGTGTCTGCTCTAGGGATGCTCGCCCTGCATTCTCCATGTGCCTGCTCTTGATGAGGTCTGGAGCTCCTGAGCACTGGAGTGTGGAATATGCTTGATTCTGGGCTGCCCATGGGCTACTCAGGCCTCACTTCAGGCCTCTCTCTCTCTCTCTGGACAGTAGGGTATCTAGACTTGCTTGGCTCAGCCTGGTCACCACCAGGTCCCTTTCATTCATTCCTACATTCATGTATGTCTCATTCACCCAATTATCTGTTCACCCACTTGGCCACCCACGCCTTCGTCCACTCATCCACTCACCCACTTGGCCACCCGTGCCTTCATCCACTCACACATTAGTCCACTTGTTAATTCATTTATTCATTGGCTCGCTCATGAGTCTGCTCATCCATTTACTCACGTATCAATCATTTATCCTCCCTAGGTCACTTAGCTCTCCACTCAATCAGTGTGCACTCATCCACTGCCTCCGTCATCCAAGCACTTCCTCACCCATGAATTCTATCAGCCACTCATTCACTGATCTCCTCAGCCACTAGTTCACTCACTCAGTCACTCACTCACTCATTCTCTCCCTCTTTGTCCTCTCCCAGGATGCTTCTGACTCTGACTTTGTCCTGGCTCCAGTTAGCCCCTGTGCAGCTATTGTCACCGTTAGGACATATCCTCCCAGCAAGTAGAGGCCGAGACCCCCTCAGTGGCCCTCACCAGGCTGCCACGCCCCTAGTGAAGAGCCTGAAGAGTAAGACCCCCCTGAAGTCCAGGCCTGTCCTTGTGCAGTTCCTATATCTATGGACATGTTTTAAAAATAATACACACACAGAGAGAATTCACAAATGCTCTGACTGTATTTATAAAACAAGTTGGCCATTTCCTGAAAGGGGGCACAGGTACAGGGCTGAGGTGAGAGAGAGGCCAAGCAGGTGACACTCGCATCCTTCATGGGATCCTGAAGTTTTTCCAAAGGAGCCCGGTGCCCTTACGCTCCTAATCGCTGGATAGGACTGCTCCCACCCCAAGGACAGCTGGGGTCCATGTCCCTCCTGAAGAGGAAGTGGTGGGCAGGCAGCAGGTCTGGAATTCAAGCCACTTGAACAAGCAGCGCATGTCCTGCTGGCCTCGGGAGGACTTTGGGTGGCGTGTTGGGACAGCAGTGCCGCTCAGCTCTGGGAAAGCCCAAGCACCTCCTTGCTGGCCCTGAGTGCTTACTGCTGGCCGTGTCCCTTACTTCCCTGGGACTTGAACTCTGATTCTGAGGACTCTGGGTAGCTCGTGTCACCTGGAGCATGGCAGCGCTGGCCCAGGCAGCCGCACTTCTCAACCTGGGTGTAGCTGAAGGTGCGGCTGGAGCCGTCATCACAGTGCAGAGTCACATTCCTCTGGGAGGTCTGCAGCTCCTGGCAGCACTCACACTTGTGCTCCACGGTGTTGGCCTCCAGGGAGTACCTGTGGGTAGATCTGCTCAGCGCCCAGCCCTGCCGGCCGCTGCGTGCGCCTTCCATAGGCTCTGCAACGCAACCAGTAGGCACAGTGCCGAGCTCCCGAGGTCTTTGTGACCTTGTGTTCAAATCCCTATCACTCTCATTTGCCAGTTCCCTGGGGGCAAAAGTTTCTGCCACAGCTGCCCTTGGCCACCAGGTGTCCTACGTCTGCAGCCAGAAGCACAGCAGGTCATTGCTGTGGGACTGGGGCTTTCGTAGGTCTGAGATATTTCAGCAAACAGAAACCCTGATGCAAAAGTAATATAGCCCAAGGGTCCTAGAACCCTGCCGACGCCACCTTGGGATGCTCAAGTTATAACAGTCTCCTCCAGCGCCCTTTTTCTCTCTCTCTCTCCTGGTTCTGTCCCTCCCTGCCCTGCTTCTGGACCCCAACGTACCAGACACCCCACCCCACTCCACCCCACCACCAATTTCTTCTCTGAACACTGTCCCCTGAGGCTCCCTGGGGTTCGTACATGGAGGTGCTGTCCCCGCAGTTGCCCAGGCAGTAGGAGAGGCTCACTGGCCCCTCGGAGCTACAGTTTTGCTGACGGATGATCTGCTGTCTTTGGTGTACGGCACATTCTGGGAGGACAGGAAGTGAGGCAGAGAGAGGGTCAGTGTCTGCTCAGTCATTTCCTGGGTGCCCCAGGCTGGGATCAACTCCGTCCTTGTCAGATCCCCCCACTTACTCTGCTGGGTTTTGGGACAGTCATAGCAGCAACCGTCTTCTCTCAGCTGAGCCTGGCCCTGTGCCAACAATGGGCCATTGTGAATGCCAGGGGCAATGAGGCACCCAGAAATGGAGGCCAAATGCAAACAAGAGCAGGAGCCCCCTCTACTGGAGGGGATAAGCCTCACGGCCATGCAGCACCAGCGTCCCCTCATCCCAGGTGAGCTGCCACCTTGGCTGCAGTGGGAAACCCCAAACTTACCAGTGGACAGTTGATTTTGGGGCACTCCATCTTCATTGTCACAACCGTGAGTGTATCTTGGAAATTCTCACACTTATGAGTCACACAGTTGTTCCCAGGTTCTGGCCAGGACTCCCCAGGCTGAAAGGAGACCCAGTCTGCATAGTGAGTGCCCAGCCTCTGTCTCCCCACTGCCTACTATCTTCCGGGGAGAGACCAGGCCTATATCCGCCAGAGATGGCTTCTCAAGTGCCCCCCCCCGCAAGGTTCCAGGACCCTGCCTAGTCAGCCTGGAGTCTCCAGGATCCTACCTCATCATCCCTAAACCCCCAGGATTAAGGCCACTCAGGGTCCAGTGCCCCCAGGACCCTGTTTGCTCGGTCCAAATGCTGTCTGTTTCACGCTCTCTATACCTGGGCCTGGGACTGTGCGTAGTTCCTTGGAGAGTATGGTCACTTTGCCCCAGCCTGCGTGGAGCCTGTGCAGAGCCTGTGGTCTGTTGTTCCTGTCCTCTATTCCCCACTCTGAGGTCACCTATCTTAGTCCCAGGTACTCACAAGGTAATAGGTGACAGAGCTGTTGCTGTGTTTAAAGGAGCAGGCCTTCGGCACACACCGCCCACAACACTGTCCTGGCTCGGGCTGGTACGCGGAGCCCTGCAGGAAGAATAGTATGCTGCCTAACTTCGGGCCATTGGCACCGGGTGATGAGAGCAGGGACGGGGCCAGTGCTCACCTTAGGACATTGGGTGTTGCAGAACTCATTCTTACAGTTGACCACAAAGACATCTGAATGGGGATTGCTGGGCGCCTGGCACACACATGTTTCACACAGACTGGAGGAGATCACAGCACCGGGCTGGGAAGAGTCAGGGCTGGGCATTAGTGGGCTCAAGCTAAGAAGATATTTGCTCTGTACTCTGACTGGCCAGTTGCTCTGGCTGCCCACCAAGCTGACCCATTCTCTAGGAAATGATCTTTAATGTTACCTCATCGTGAAGAGACCATAAATCAGGTGCTGTCACAGGGCAGAGCCTATAACTATGCCTCTGTGTCAGGGGACCCAAGATACTACATACTTGGGGAATTGCCGTGGGGAAAGGACAGCTGGGGGAAACTAGGTGCTGGCATCCCCACTATGACACCAGGGAGCAGAGAATTGATAGGAATCTTAATGGATCCAGACACCAGGTATTGGCAGCTGCAAGGATCCTGGGGCCAACCTTAACTGCGCTGTTCTGAACTACATCCACAGAGGTTTGTGTCATTGGTCTGGGCAGAAGCTCTGTGCCAGGGATAAGAGTGGCTCAAGAGCTCCTCAGCGCTTCTCAGACCCCCAGCTATGCTCCAAAGGGCTGGTGGAGAGCCCCAAATGGGAAGCTCAGTCCCTGCAGGCTATAAGGCCTGAGCACCACTGGTTCCTACCTGATAGAGAATCCCGTTGACTTCACAGCCCTTCTGACCTGTCCAAAAGACATACTGGCTGTAGCCTGGGCCTTGTGAGGGCACAGCCTGACTCTTTCATGGATATGTTCTGCTGTTAGATGCTGGAGCGCCTCGGGCTTCCTTCCCACCAAGGGCTCCACCCCAAGCAACAACCCATCTCCCACCATCAGCGCCTTCATCTGGCCGGTCCTCCAGGAAATTCCAGGTATAGGTGTGGCTTGGTGGAAAGGTCAGGGACACTCACTGCTGCAGTTTTGTCGTGGGCAGCAAGCTCCTTCCTCGTAGACGACCAGCAGGCTAGAATTCTCCGGGCAGTGCAGAGGAGGAGGGCAGTAGCTGGAGTTGCAGACTGTGGGTAGAGAAAGCTGTCAAGGGCTGGGCTTGCCCTGCTTCTTTTCTGCTCCGAGGGTCTACCCCACCACAGGATGTCACAACGGTCCCCAGGACCCCAGGAACAGGCTCTGGTCAGGCTGGGCAGAGGAGTCTCCACTACACACACCTAAAGAACACCTGCTGGGGCATTACCAGACAGGACACAGCAGGGTCCCTATACTCCAGCAATGTGTAAACCCTGGGAAGCGAGGTTTCTATTCCCTTCCTCCTGGGACTGTGTACACAGAGCTGGCTGCTGACCGGTACACCTATGGCTCCTCAGGAGATTGTCCTACCTATGGGTATGGGGATAGAAGCAAAGGCTTACCACAGCTGAACTGGGAACAACACTGGCCAGCCTGCAGGGCTTTGGGCACCGGCACAAAGCCAGGCTCTGGACAGGTGGTCTGGGGACAGGACTTCCTTTGGCAGGTCAGCGTGCCGCCCTTGCAGACACAGTCCTGGCAATCGATGCTGATGCTGTGGCCGGGCTGTGGAGGAATGATACGTGACCCTGACCTCTGAGGGAGCCGCTCGGCCCAAGGGCAGCTACAGCCAAGCCTCAGAGTCAGGCCCCACATGTGCCCAGAGGGCTGTGCTGCAAGCCTAGGGGAGGGGGCTTCAGGAGCGCCAGGTCTGAGACGCTGAAGGCCAGGCACAGAGGCCAGGAGCAGGGGGGGGGGGGAAGGGCTTTGTTTAGTGAGCGGCTCTTCCCCTCCATCCTAACACATCTCTTCAGGATAGGAGGAGGCCTGGGGAAGAACAGGGCTGACCAGTCCTCATGGGTCACCCAGCAGCTCCAGAACACAGGCAGGACAGCCCCAGAGAAGATCTTCCCAGATCCTGTTCAGACACCAGCTCTCTCCCTGCTTTTATCTGGCCTTTGGCACACTGAGAAAGCCCCACCCCAGCCCACACTGCCCTTGATCCAGGAACTCCTGCCTCAGGCTCTGCACCCCTGCCACAAGCCACCATCATCCATACCTACCTCCACAGGTTCTCCATGAGGCCCCAGACACCCTGTAGAGAGAGGTCCTGTCATTCTGAGTGGTCACAGGAATGGGGCAAGACCAGGATCCATGCTGGGTACTATAGTGGGGTCTGGGGTCAAGCCACATCCTGCCCCCCCCAGCCCCACCCCCATGCCTGTGGGGACATACATTGGCAGGAAGGCACGCAGACTGAATCATTAGTGCTGAAAAGTGTTGTGTTATCCGGACAGAAGCAGCCCTCTGAGAAGGAGCCAGCTTCTTGAAGGATCCTGTAAGAAACAGAATTGATAGGCCCTTCACCCCCAAATAAGAAAGAACCCAGCCTAGGAAAGCCAAGTGCCAGAGCCAGATACGCAGGGGTTGTCAGCCCTGGGAGCAGATTGCGGACACTTACAAGCTGGTGCTGATGTCGTCATTCCTATAGCAGTAGTGAGGGTTGGTTGGGCCACATGGCTTGTATACTTTGTTATCAGAACAGGTGAAGGCTGTGTGGAGAGAGAGCCACCCCTGAGAAGCCATTTCAAGGCCTCACTTCTGGGACCCTCCAAGCCCCAGCTGCTGCTAAGCGCTGATACCCACTCAGAAGCCTTCAGTATCTATCTACAACCTGCCCCCCACCCCACCCCCAGGTCCGTATGCTTATCCAAGACAGCTGGCACCCCAGGCCCTAAATCCACAGACACCTCGGTTCAGATAATCTCCCTTTCCTGAAAACAAACCCACAGCCTGGAGCTTTTACCTCTAGGGAAGACTAGATTTGAGGCTCCAAGTCCTCATCCTTTCCCAGGCTGTCTGCCTAGCGCCTCTAAGTTCTCACAACAGAGGACAGGAAGGTGGCCCGGGCTGGACACTCACGACAGGTGTTGTTGGTGTGGCTTCTCCAGGGGATGCACTGGCCTTTGGCGGCACAGAGTGTCGCGTAGAGCTCCAGGCTTGAGCACACCACCTCCCAGTCCACGCCGTGGCAGGTGTCGAACAAGCAGCCTTCGTAGAACGGCAGGGGAGGAATGACAGGGTGGCAGGACTGGAAGACGCTGTGGGCAAAGACACACGCGACGGTGTGTGCATCCATTCTGCCAGGGTCACCACTCGCAGTGGGGGCTTCCACATCCGTGATACCCCCTTGGAGGTGAGGTTCTAAGAGACTTCGCACCTATGACCCTGTCATCCCGCCTCTGGGTGTGTGCCAGAAAAGGTGTCAGCCAGAGCACTGGTCGCTGCAAATCTCTCTCCCCTCAGCCTCCCTTATTCTGCAACACTGTGTGCCGCCCAGGTGCAGGCAGTGACTGCGCTCATAGCAACGAGAGGAACTGACGCAGGACTCCAGAGACGAGTCCACCTGGCCACCGCATTCCAGCAAGATCCCTAGAGACAGTGCCCAGACCCTAGAACAAGGCTACAGGGCTGGTCTCATTATTCTTAGGAGCCTTTTGAGGACCCCACACCTTTTGGCAAATGGGGCCAGCAAGGCTACCGCACTTTCTAAAATCTTACTTGCTTAGGATGAGCTGACAGAGTGGTGATGACGGACATGGGGTCGGTGAAGGACTGGGTACCACTGAAGCTGGTGTTGGAGGAGGCCCTTGGCAGGCAGGCTGGTCGGGCACCTTCCAGTGGCCGGCCATCTCAGAACAAGAAGAGGTTACTGCCCCTCCAGGCAGGCGGCACTCATCCTTCTTGTCGTTGGTGCAAGTGCCTGGCGGGCGAGATGAGGGTCAGCCAGCTGAGCAGCAGAGCTGTGCCCGGTGTACAGAGAAGCCACCATGGAACAAGTAGATGTGAACCACATGTGTGCACAGCCAGAAACCCCTAGGCCCATGGGGAGGCTGCTCCTAATACCCAAACAACATCGAGAGTGGAGCTTACCGCACTGGCCCTCTGTGTTGTTGGCGAACAGGTTGAAGGGCACCTCAACAGAGAAGATGAGGCCTGAAAACATGACCTGGACACCAATCTCCTGAATGGTAACGTACATCTTAACACCCACACGGGAGACGACAATGCCATTCTGCTGGAAGCCTGGATTCACTACCTTGTTGTTGAAGATGATCTGGATACAGACAGCAGGTCGTTTAGATAGGTCTCCAACCCAGACCAAGCCTGCCACAACCCCATACACACACACACACACACACAGAGGCATGCCCACCTGGTTGGTCATGATCCCGTCAACTGGCCTGCGGGTCAGCACCACCCGGTCCTGGTGGTACTCCACGATGATGGACTGCGGGCAGGAAACACTGTCTCCCAGGTCACAGAAGTAGTTGTCAATGAGCACACGGAAGGGTCCAAACACAGGCACGATCTGCTGCACCAACACGTATGTGCAGTTATCCAGAAAACTGTAGTAGGTGCCATCAAATGTGATGTAGTGGGGATCACCCCAGCCGCTGCAAACACCTGTGGGCGCCAGGGAGCTTGCCTTATAGACTGGCTCTCATCCAACTGCTCCAGCCCCTCCCCCACAGCCTCCTAATCAGGAACTCTTGAGACCTTTGTACCCTCGTGACATATATGGATGGTCCCTTCAGATACTGCCTGGCCGGTCCTTCATAAGCTGCTAGGATTCTGAGACACAGAGAACCCTCCTCTTCTCCCACTGGGCTCTACGGCTCTGGGACTCAGTTCTCTCCACTTGGCATCCCCATCCCCGACTTGATAATGGAAAGTCTTTCCTGGAGTCTTGATTCTCCCCTCCTCTGTCATATGTCCCCCCTTTTGAACCCTATCCCCACTCACACTGGCACTGGTAGTGCTGGCAGCAACCGTCCTGGTCATCCACCTTCAGGGGTGGGTAGCCGTTGGCACAAGATGGTGCCTTCATCTCTGGGCACTGGCGTGGACTTAGGGAGACCACATTGTTGCCCTCACAGGTGGCTTGGGAGCAATTAGGCATGGGCCAGGTCTCCCCTTTCTGCAGAAACAAAGCCAGCTGTGGGTCTGAGCCCTGGGCCAGGGAATCACCTCAAGGTTCTATAGCCCCATTCCAGCCCCTGTCTTAGCCTCATCCCTGCCAAAGTATGGAACTGGCTACGAGGGACCACAATGTGGAAACGCCCCACCCCTGAGGTTCACTCTTTTCCATGTATCACTACATCCATGGGGTGTACCATCACCTCTGATACCTTCACTCTCATTGGGGGGAGTTTTAACCTTCAGGCCCAACACCCAACTACCCAACTATCAATACCGCACTGGTAGAACCAGACACGCAAAGCCATAAAAAGACTCAGCCAGAAACTCATCCTGTATCAACTGGGGGTTGTTGATCTTCATGGGAACTTAAGCTGAGGTATAATTGCAAATGCACCGAGGTCTTCACAGTGGCCCTGAGTCTCCAGGAAGGATAGCAGATAGACTTACCATTCTGGGAGGGAACACATTGCAACGATCCCTCTCGGTGACAGGGACGATAGGAGATGTAGAGGTGGACAGAGCTGTTGCAGGGGTCGGCATGGTGGAAGGACAGTCTTTACTAACCCCTCTGTCCACCTGGCAGGTCAGGTTGCAATAGGCATAGTAACAATGTCCGTCCAGATCTGTCTTATTGTAGATCATGGATCCTGCAAGATTAAGATAAGTGAAGGGTTTGCGGAGGCACTGGGAGAAAAGTCTGCTCCCCAAAGAGTGGTTGCCAAACTAAAGGCTTCCACTCAATGATAACAGAAAAAGACAAGAAATGTTTGAAGGCAATTGTGACACGATCTGCCAAATCCAAGAACTTTCACGGAAGAAAATCAAGGAACAGAATACCTTAGGAAGCTGCGTAAAGACACCCCACTTACCGATAGGATATAGTTGGCCTGACACGTTGCACACACAAGGAGTGGTAAATTGTACAGCAGGGCTCGATGATGATAATGGGGACACAGATGAGGGTGACACAAATGGAAATGAGGGCTTGAGGGGTGTGGTCACAGGGGGAGTCCAATAGGTCTCAGGGCAGCCTTCAGGCACGCGGCAGCACAGGACTCGCACCTCATAGTTGAGGCACATCCCGGAGATGTCCTGCTGGTCCCGGTTCCTGCACACCAGGCCCACTGTGGGGTCGCACTGCACCACCTGACCCAGATCTTCCAGCCGCACCTCAGGGTGATTCTCAGCCCTGCATTCCAGCTGTGTGATCTCCTCTGGCCGGTGACAGATGCTCTCTCCCTTCCTCAGGATGTTGCTGTAGGTTTCCAGGTCCCCTCCATGTGGCCCAGGCACCGGAAAGTCAGTGTCAAGCCACTTGGTCCAGTTGCACTGGGGCTGGCAGTGGGTGGTCAGTGGGGAGGAAGTTGTCCCAGGATGAGGCTCAGTGCCTGTGGTGCTCAGAGGAGCTGAGGTGGCTCTGGTTGCAGGCACAGAGGTGGTGCTGGTTCTTCCCACGGATGTCGTGCTGGCTGTATGCTCAGAAGTGGTTGTGGTGTCTCTGATGGGCACGGTGCTAGCTGTATGCCCAGAGGTGGTACTGGTATTTTCTGTAGAGGTTGAACTGGTCTGCGTTTTGAGGGTAGAGCTCACTGTTGCTGTAGAAGGTGATCTTGTTTGGGGTATGTTGATGGTACTTGCTGTCTGCTCTGAGGTGGCGCTGGTGCCCTTGGTAGACATGGTGGTGGCTGTGTGCTCAGAAATTGAGCTGGTTTGGGGTTTGGTGGTGGTGCTGACTTTTCCTTTAGATGTTGAACTTGATCCAGGTATGGAGGTGGTGCTGGCTGTCTGCACAGAGGTGGTCCTGGTGTCCCTGGTGAAAATAGTACTGGCCATCTCCCCAGCGGTAGTGCTAGATTTTTCTACAAATGGTGAGCTTGTTTGGGGTGTGGAGGTGGTTCTGGTGTCTCTGGTGGAAATGGTCTGCCCAGAGGTGGTGCTGGATTTTTCTATGAAGGGTGAGCTTGTTTGGGGTGTGGATGTGGTCCTGGCTGTCTGCTCAGAGATGGTGCTGGTGTCCCTGGTGGACACTCTGCTGACTGTTTGCCCAGAGACTGCACTGGTTCGAGGTGTGGAGGTGGTTCTGGCTGGCTGCCCAGAGGTTGGTCTGGGTTTATACAAGGGGGTTGTGCTGGCTGTCTGCTCAGAGGTGATGCTAGTGTCTCTGGTGGACATGGTGCTGGCTGTCTGTCCAGAGGTTGTTCTGGAATGTCCTATAAGTGTTGAGCTTGTTTGGGGTTTGAAGGTAGTACTGTCTGAAGGCTCAGAACTTGGTTTGGGTTTAGGTATGGAGGTGGTGCTGGCTGTCTGCCCAGAGGTAGTTCTGGTGTCTCTGGTGGAAATGGTCTGCCCAGAGGTGGTGCTGGATTTTTCTATGAAGGGTGAGCTGGTTTGGGGTGTAGAGGTGGTGCTGGCTGTCTGCACAATGGTTGTCCTGGTTTGAGGCATGGACGTGCTGATTGCTCTATGAACAGAAGCGGTGCCAGGCACTGAACTGGTGACAGTCTCACCTGGAGAGCTGGCAGGAGCGGCACGTGTGGTCTCAGGGCAGCCTTCAGGCACGCGGCAGCACAGGACTCGCACCTCATAGTTGAGGCACATCCCGGAGATGTCCTGCTGGTCCCGGTTCCTGCACACCAGGCCCACTGTGGGGTCGCACTGCACCACCTGACCCAGATCCTCCAGCCGCACCTCAGGGTGATTCTCAGCCCTGCATTCCAGCTGTGTGATCTCCTCTGGCCGGTGACAGATGCTCTCTCCCTTCCTCAGGATGTTGCTGTAGGTTTCCAGGTCCCCTCCATGTGGCCCGGGCACTGGGAAGTCAGTGTCAAACCATTTGGTCCAGTTGCACTGGGGCTGGCATTGGGTGGTCAGTGGGGACGAAGTCGTCCCGGGATGAGGCCTAGCGCCTGTGGTGCTCAGAGCAGCCGAGGTGGCTCTGGTTGCAGGCACAGAGGTGGTGCTGGTTCTTCCCATGGATGTCGTGCTGGCTGGCTGCTCAGAAGTGGTTGTGGTGTCCCTGGTAGACATGGTGCTGGCTGGCTGCCCAGAGGTGGTTGTGGTGTCTCTGATGGGCACGGTGCTAGCTGTATGCCCAGAGGTGGTACTGGTATTTTCTGTAGAGGTTGAACTGGTCTGCGTTTTGAGGGTAGAGCTCACTGTTGCTGTAGAAGGTGATCTTGTTTGGGGTATGTTGATGGTACTTGCTGTCTGCTCTGAGGTGGCGCTGGTGCCCTTGGTAGACATGGTGGTGGCTGTGTGCTCAGAAATTGAGCTGGTTTGGGGTTTGGTGGTGGTGCTGACTTTTCCTTTAGATGTTGAACTTGATCCAGGTATGGAGGTGGTGCTGGCTGTCTCCCCAGCGGTAGTGCTGGATTTTTCTACAAATGGTGAGCTTGTTTGGGGTGTGGATGTGGTGCTGGCTGTCTGCACAGAGGTGGTTCTGGTGTCTCTGGTGGAAATGGTCTGCCCAGAGGTGGTGCTGGATTTTTCTATGAAGGGTGAGCTTGTTTGGGGTGTGGATGTGGTCCTGGCTGTCTGCTCAGAGATGGTGCTGGTGTCCCTGGTGGACACTCTGCTGACTGTTTGCCCAGAGACTGCACTGGTTCGAGGTGTGGAGGTGGTTCTGGCTGGCTGCCCAGAGGTTGGTCTGGGTTTATACAAGGGGGTTGTGCTGGCTGTCTGCTCAGAGGTGATGCTAGTGTCTCTGGTGGACATGGTGCTGGCTGTCTGTCCAGAGGTTGTTCTGGAATGTCCTATAAGTGTTGAGCTTGTTTGGGGTTTGAAGGTAGTACTGTCTGAAGGCTCAGAACTTGGTTTGGGTTTGGGTATGGAGGTGGTGCTGGCTGTCTGCCCAGAGGTGGTTCTTGTGTCTCTGGCAGAAATAGTATTGGCCGTCTGCCCAGCGGTAGTGCTAGAATTTTCTAGGAAGGGTGAGCTGGTTTGGGGTGTGGATGTGGTCCTGGCTGTCTGCTCAGAGGTGGTGCTGGTGTCCCTGGTGGACACTATTCTGATTGTTTGCCCAGAGACTGCACTGGTTGGAGATGTGGAGGTGGTTCTGGCTGGTTGCCCAGAGGTGGTACTGGTTATTTCTGTAGAGGTTGAACTGGTCTGAGTTTTGAGGGTAGAGCTCACTGTTGCTATAGAGGGTGAGCTTGTTTGGGGTGTGGAGGTGGTGCTGGCTGTCTGCACAGAGGTGGTTCTGGTGTCTCTGGTGGAAATGGTCTGCCCAGAGGTGGTGCTGGATTTTTCTATGAAGGGTGAGCTGGTTTGGGGTGTGGAGGTGGTGCTGGCTGTCTGCACAGTGGTTGTCCTGGTTTGAGGCATGGACGTGCTGATTGCTCTATGAACAGAAGTGGTGCCAGGCACTGAACTGGTGACAGTCTCACCTGGAGAGCTGGCAGGAGCGGCACGTGTGGTCTCAGGGCAGCCTTCAGGCACGCGGCAGCACAGGACTCGCACCTCATAGTTGAGGCACATCCCGGAGATGTCCTGCTGGTCCCGGTTCCTGCACACCAGGCCCACTGTGGGGTCGCACTGCACCACCTGACCCAGATCCTCCAGCCGCACCTCAGGGTGATTCTCAGCCCTGCATTCCAGCTGTGTGATCTCCTCTGGCCGGTGACAGATGCTCTCTCCCTTCCTCAGGATGTTGCTGTAGGTTTCCAGGTCCCCTCCATGTGGCCCGGGCACTGGGAAGTCAGTGTCAAACCATTTGGTCCAGTTGCACTGGGGCTGGCATTGGGTAGTCACTGGCTCGGTGACCATGTGTGGACTCTCTGTGGCCAAGGTCTTTGTGTGTGTCATTGCTGTGTGAGTACTGGTGCCGGTGGTGGAGGAGGAACGCAAGCTTGTGGTTCCTTTGGTCTTGGTTTTCGTGCTTACTTCATGTGGGGTAGGATGAGTGGCAGCTGAAGCAGTGGAGCACATGTCCACCACTGTGCAACACTGTATCCGGATCTCGTAGTTATAACAAATGGGTGGCAGCTGGTTCTTGTTCAGACAGATCAAGCCTTCCTCTCGGTTGCAGGTTACGTCCTGGCCCAGCTCCTCCAGGGGTGTGTTGGGAAAGAACTGAGCCCTGCACTCAACATTTTGTGGCTTTTCACAGAACTTGTAGCCTTTGGCTCTCAGGTTTACGAAGCTGTCAAAATCTCCACTGTTTCTGCCAGGCCCAGGGTAGCTGCTATCTATCCAATCAGTCCAACTGCAGTGCTCCTGTTTGCATTCATGGGTAGTCTCCAGAGAAGCCCTGGTGGACCCTGAAGTTGATACGGTCACAGATGATGTGGCTGAAGTTGGTTCTGGCGTTGGGCTAGTAGTTGACAGAGTTGTCTTAACTGTGGTAGAACTAGCTGGGCCAGGGGTGGAGGGCCTTGGAGCTGATGGAGAAGGATGTGAGGAAGAGGGGAAAGGACCTGGTGCATGGGTAGAGGCACCTGACATCACCGTGCTCTCTGTGTGGTCAAGGGAGGTGATAGGGGCTGAAGAGGTTGTGGTCCCCGTTGTCGTTGTCCTGGAGGTTATCAAATGGGTGGTCTGGGTAGGACCACTGGAGGCTGGACAGCTGATGGGGGTGCAGCACAGAATTCTGATCTGGTAGTTGTCACAGATCCCTGACACCTGATCCTTGTTGTGACAGGTCAGCCCTGCAGTTGTACTGCACTCCACACGCTGCCCTAGGGCATGAAGCGGCACCTCGGGGGTAGCCTCAGCACGGCAGTCCACTTCCCTGGGCACTTGGCAGATCTGGTAGCCATGGGCACGGAGGTTCTCCAGAGTGTCAAAGTCACCACCGTCAATGCCACGTCCAGGACGGCTGGCATCCATCCAGGGAGACCAGGAGCACTCCTCCTCGCAGCCTGGCATGGTTAAGGTGGAGGCTGTCGTAGATTCGGTCAAGGTAGAGGCTGTGGCAGGGGTCTCGATAGACAGCATGCTGCTGGTTGTTGGTACAGCCCTGCTTGGGGACCCTGTGTACACAACACTCAGGGTAGGGCTGGGATGTGTACTGGAGGGTGGCACTGAGGTCATGACTGTGGACAAAGGTAACAGGAGTCAGCATTAGGGTGTTGGGGTTGACTACCTAGTCCCTGGTCACATCCTCCCTCCTCATACATCAGCAGCCTTGGGTCTCATCGCCATGGTTACACTGACTTTGAAAACTGAACACCACAGCCACATCCCATCAGAACCTACCTCTGGGTGGACAGAAGTAAAGTATATTAGGTCTACAAACAGACAAAATAATCTCATCTAAACGGAATCTTCTGTCCTGGCCATGCCCCGAGCAGAATTTATACACTTATACCCTTCAAAACTAGGCTGCGGGGAGGAGGGTGAGACCTGAGGGATATCTAGCGATCCACACAGTGTAAGGCAAGCAGGTAGCTATAAATTATGGGAAAATCGCATGTTCATCCGTACTGGCCTGGGACCACTAGTCATTAGAGCCTGTAAGCTAAGGCCCTCACTGCCTTGGGATCGGGTCCAGTAGCTACAGAAAGTGGTACCATGGACACCGGGCCTGCCAGAATGGGTCAAGGAGACTGACCGCTTCCTGCCATGGGATAAAAGCAGGCTACCTATGTTCCTGATGTTCAACTCCTTGGCCCCTCCTTGAGTTTCAGGACCTGCCACCAAGACCACGAGCTAGCCACTACCTAACATTCAGCAAGAGAAGCAGTACCAATCAACAGAAAGAGAGACAACCCCCAGGAAGCCTAGCATTTTCTGCCACGGGTCATTTCTGCCTTACCAACTGGTGTGGAGAAGGAGAACGTGGTCGGGGGCACGGGAGTGGTGGGGCTGCAGGCGTCGGTAATCCTTTCAATGGTGCCGTTAGCCCCGCAGTGTGCAGAGATACAGCCTCCCATGCCATCTGTCGTGTTGTAGATGACTTCCCCATGATGGAAGTCCTGCCCACTGTAGGTACAGACACAGGCTGCGGGAAATAGATGTTTAGCCTGTTAGGGTGCTAAGACACTGGCGATGACTCTCCCGCCTGTCTCCAGCTCAGAGAAGGCTGCAGGTACTCACCAGAAACATTGTAGCTACAGCTCACACCATTCTTTGTGCAAATGCTGTTAAAGGCAGAAAGAAGTAGGACTGAATGCATGGGAACTGGACCTGCCTGTACCCAGGGGGCTTAGTGTCGGTGATGAAGCAGCCCAGTTACAGCCCAAGCTGGAGGTTACGGTCCAACCAGGTCCTAAACTTCAGCCTTTCAGGTCACCCTCTCTCAAACATCGCCCCCATGCATAACCAATGGAGACAAGGTGGACTTCCACAGACATCGTCCCTTCGTCCCTGGGAGGACACTTGGCTGAGAACACCATCACTCTCACACACAGCTGGATTTTAGGTCAAGGATGTCCTCCCTTTAACATGAGCCTTAGGCCATAGGCATGCTCCCTCCCAGCTCAGCCGCAAGTCCAGGGTGTCTGTCCTCTCAGCTGAGCCTAAAACAAGAGTGTTCTTCCTCCTAGCTGAATCTCTGAAGGCATGGGGCCCCACAGGGCTGGTGGTGTCCCTTTCCCTCAGTGCAACCTCAGGCAGAGGGTGCTTCTAGCTGAGGCTGCAAGTTTGGCTTGGGCTCCCTGTGGCGTCCCAGGTTCTAGGCCACTCTAACTGAAGGACTTACCAGGAATGGCAGTTCTTGTCTGAAGGTACCGTCGCACCTGCTCGGTACGACTTCCCATTGATGCGGCAGGGTGGTAGACGTGAGTGGGGGTTGTCTGTACAGTTGGACACACACTGCATCGTGCCCTCATCAAAGATGGGGGCTGTTGGTGGACACTTGGGGTAGCAGCCTATGGACCAAGAGACCTGTGTCTTACCTGTGTCTTAGACAGTCTCCCCCCGCCCCCAGCCCTCTGACACCAGGGCCCAGGTCTGTCCTCAGTGCCCAGCTTCCTCCACACTACTGTTTGAGTTTGAAACCCTAAAGGATCCTCATGGGATCAGGAAGAATTCCTCACAACCAAGGGTCCCATCAGAAGACCCCAGGCCTTGGATCCCAGGATAGATGCCAGTCCAGATCCTAGGAACCCAACAGATGCTGCCCCTCCCAGTTCAGCCTTCCACCTACCTTCTAGGCCACGAAGATCTTGTAGGCAGTCTCCACTAGGGTTCTGGCAGGTGCGCATGCAGGGGGCCCCACACGGCTGGTAGTGCCACTCACACTGACCCTCTGGGTTGTAGTAGTCACAGAAGAGCGCTGGAAAGCAGGGAGATTTCCTGGGGTAAACCTGAACCCCACCCTGAGAGAAGGCAGCTCAGATAAAGCTTTGAAAGCGTGCCAGCAAGGCAAACACCGAAGGGGGCTCTCCAGCTCCAGCAGCTGCCCCCAGGCACACTGGTCCCTCAAGGGCTTCACATGGACTTTGCATAAGAAGAGGTACTGATGCCTCCATTGTAGAACATTCTCTGAGGTTAGCCTTCCTCCCACAGATCCTTACCCTCATTCTGCTTCACTTGCCTTGGGAAACTGTTGGCCCTCCCATGCAGCCTGGCGGAACTACAGAGCTGGCCTCTCCTGCCTGGAACTATAGTCCCTCCCGGAGCACTCACAGCAGACATCCTGGCTCAGCCCCTGCAGTTCCCAGCCCTCGGAGCTGCTCCTGTTAGAGCCAGCTATGGAGCGGCTACAGTATTTGTGTACTTGGATTGCAGGACACAAGCAGATGCACGCACACATGCACACACATTGGAGGGAGGTGTGTGTGAGTGTGTGTGTGTGTGTGTGTTGTGCTGGCCAGAACCAAGCTAGGGGAGAAGAGGAGGCTATCACCAACCTTATCCCCAGTTCCACACTGGAGGTATGCATATGCGTGCTTGTGTGTGTGTGTGTGTGTGTGTGTGTGTGTGTGTGTGTGTGTGTGTGCTGGCCAAAACCAAGCCAGGGGAGCAGGGCAGGCTATCTATCACCCACCTCCAGTTCCATGCTGGAGGTGTGTGTGTGCGGGTGAGTGCGTGGGGGGGGGGGGTGGCTGCCCAGAACCAAGCCAGGAGAAGCAAGGGACATCATCACCCACCTCACCCCCAGTTCCACCCTTTAGCAACGCAGACAGATTCCCACTCACGGCAGATGTCCGGTGTCCTCCAGGACACACACACGCCCACCTCGTGGCAGGCCTGGGCATAGGCAGCCACAGCAGTGCAGAAACACTCGCAGTCACCCCCTGAGTCGCAGGCACACGCGTCACTCACACAGGCTTCATAGTACTTGGCAGGCTCCACCTGTAAGAGACAGAAGCTTCAGGCTCTGGAGACTCCTGTCTCCCTCAGCTCTTAGTGCATATGCTGACCTGATGCACTGTTGGACCAGTTTCTACCAGTGTTCATGGTGACAAATGTATAACCATGAATGTCCAGCCAGGATGTCATGGTGAGACTGGCTTGATCATGGAGTTGCCACAAGCTTCCTCAGTCCGTGTTCAGAGTTAACACCCCCCCAAACCATTCTGCTGTACACACATGGGTTCCCGACTGACACCCACACCCTTGGTTGATGGTTTCTCCATCCTAAAGTTCAGAGACCACCCAGCCCCATGCCGTACATGGGCGTGGCAGGTAACAAAGGTCGCGCTGTTGATGATGCTGCATTGCTTCTGGGCCCAGGACTTGCGGTAAGGGTTGGCAGTGCAGGGGTCCTTGGACACCAGGGCATCTGGGCAGGATGGGGAGAACTTCCAGCTGTTTCCAAACTCCAGCATGTCACCAACCACAGACTGGCTGCGCGTGGTGAAGTCGTTGATGGCATTGTCGTCAAAATTCCCACACAGGCCACAGACCTTGCCCTATAGAAGCACAGAGATTAGAGATATGGGCCAGAGCCCTTCCTGGAGCCTGATATACACTGTGCTCTATTACCACCCAACTTCCTGAAGGATGAGCCCAGGAAGAGCAGCAAGTGTGAGTTTAGAAGACTTTTGGTGTCCAGTGGTGGTGTGTGGCACTTGTGCCCATCTTTGTCTGTTCCCAGGACACAACCCCTGCCGATGATGTCCCACGAGGCCTGTGAGTCCCCCAGCCTGGCAGCCCAGGAAATCTCGTTTTCCATTATTCCTGTTAGACTACTTCGCCCTGCTTTCCTCCACCCCGACTTTGGTGTCAACTCTTGGTCACTTTGTAGGGTGAGCGTGGGGCTGTGCCATTCAGCTTAGAGTCTGTCTTAGACAGCAGTCTAAAACACTGCAGCGAGCTAGACAGTGGCCCCATGTTTGTCCCTTTCTAACCCTGGGCTGTGAAGGGAGCCTTCTTAGGAACAGAATCTTGGAAGGTGTGGCCAAGAGAGATGAGGTCTCACTAAGGCAGGGGAAGTCCTGGGTTTCTTGTCTAGTGTCCTTGTTAAAAAGAAAAAATATAGGCAGCTACACACAGTCTCCCACACAACAACAGACAGAGACTAGGATAATGAAGCCACAATCCAAGGACACCTGGAGCCCCAGAGGCTACAGAGGCAAGGAAGGCCCTCCTGAGCCTCCAGAGACACGGCAGCCCTGTGGCATCCCTTGGGTTCCTAGGGTCCAGATACAAAAGAGAACTGGCCACCCAGTTTGTGGTCACATGTTACAAAAGCTGCAAGATACACAGAGAAAGGGCTCCTCACTGCTCTTCTAAAGATCCTTCCCATCTATCCCCTCTCTCTCTCCAAAACGTATTATGTTAATTTTATTGTATTGTATATATGAGGGATGCATTGCCACAGAGCTCTTGCGGAGGTCAGAGGACAGCTCGTGGGAGTCAGCTCTTCTACCATGTGGGTTCTGGGGACTGAACCTCAAGCCTGAGCCCATCAGGCGTATCAACAAGCACTTTACCCACTGAGCCACATCTCAGCCTCCCTTCTCTGTCTCTCTGTGCATGTCTCCTGATCTCTCTCACTCTTTCTGTCCATCTCTATCTCTGTGTGTGTCTCTCTGTGTCTTCATCTTTCTCTCTCTAGCTCTCTGTGTCTTTCTGTCTCTTTCCATTCATGCCTCCAGCCCCATGCGTGCCCCAGCCCCTGAGAGGGCTTCCCTGGCTCAGCCTCACCTTGAACTCAGGGCTGAGTCTGAGAAAGATGCTGGTCTTCCTGTCCCACTGAAGCACCAGGCCAGCGTCAGTTTCCACCACCAGGTAGATGCCCATCTGGTGGACATAGCAGGGGGGCTCCTGCCCGAGGCCCTTCTGGACCACCTCCACCTTGCCGTCGGCCAGCTTCAGCTCATAGTTCTGTGTGACAAGGGGTCCTCAGGGGCTAGCCAGGGCCACACCCCTCAGGTGTGCCCCTGCCCCACTGTGGAGCCCCAGGGTGTTCGGCCGCCTCCATCCCACTCACCCCCAGGAAGATCTTGATGTCCTTGGAGCAAGTGGTTCCTGTGGTACCACAGGGGATGTTCTCAGTGACAACACGAAAGGCATCCTGGAAGCTGCCGTTCCCATCACAGTGGTCCTGGAGGAACAGAAGGCCGTTAGGGGACAGGGAAGGGTGGTGAGAACCTGGGGTTGTGGGTGGCCGCGGGTGAGGCGGTCCGTCAGGCGTACCTGCAGCAGCGTGTACTCGCAGTTCCCACTGAAGCTGTATCGCTGCCCATCGAAAGTGATGTAGTGGCCATCCCCGTACACAGCACAGGTGGCCAGGCAAGGCTTGTCTGTGCACCGCCACATCCTGTTCTCACAGGTGCTACATAGAAGATGGAGGTCAGCTGAGCGCTCCCAGGGAATGGGAACCTTCCCAGAGGCTCTGTGGGGACCCCTCATGGGAAACCAAAGCAGAGCCCAGACACCTTGAGAGCCTGTGCTGTGTATGTCCACCAGAGGCCATGCTGAGGCTTAGTGCATTCCTAATAAGGACCTCTGTGCCAGGACAGCCTGGATACCCACCCACCCCTCCTGCTGTGCCCCTCACATACCAGTTGTTGCAGCCCACTTGGATGGTCTCCCCAGGCCTATAAGTGGCCTCGTTGTGCACACAAGGACAGTCCTCAGCAGCAACACAGCCTCCATTACCATCTGCCACCAACCCGTCCGGGCACACGCAGCCAGGCACGCACTCAGAGCTGTACTGTAGGATATATGGAGAGGGAGAGTGGGATTGGATACGGGTGGATGTTTGGGGCTGAGATGTCCTCTTTGCCTGCAGGACTGCAGGTGTCATGGGAGTAGAAAGCTCAGCAGAAGGGTATCTAGGGGTGCTCTGGGAACGCAGTCTAGCCAGCTGTTCCAAAGGCTCTCAGCATTGGAGAGCCCTGCCGCTCTGAAGGTGTCCACAGACACCATAGCGGGAGAGGTCAAGGAAGTAAAGGGGTCATCCAGGAGGTCCTAGAGCAGGTTATTAGGGAGCAACCGGCTCACTTACACAGGTCATGTCCAGGGTGTGACAGCTCTTCTGACATCCAGCTCCAGTGTCCCCAGATGTGGCATTGCGGCAGTCAGAATAGATCATGGGTGCAGCACACACTGGAGAAGAAAGGGGACCAGTGAGGCGATGCCATCCGGCCTTGCCAAGCTTTCTCTGAGGGACACCAGTGCTGTAATGTCTCAGCCTCTTTTGTCCAGACAGCTGAGCCTGTGGCTGCCCTGTGGTGGGGGCAGTGTGTACATCTCTGTATTAGGGTGTGTGTGTGTGTGTGTGTGTGTGTGTGTGTGTGTGTGTGTGTGTGTGTGTTGGGAGTACACTGAGTGATTTCATGAATATGTGTGCACCGTGTCCACACCCTCGTCTCCCCTGTTCCTGAGCCCAAGGCACAGACTGTACCAGAACAGTGAGCTGATCATTAACCCCAGCTCTTTTCTCTTGGGAATGGCATCAGCCCTGACACGTCTTTGGACGTATTCTCCCAGAGTTGACAGGCTCCCTCATATGCTCACCTGGAGTCGGGGCAGGACCTCCGATGCAGGTCAGTGTCCCTTGGGTGCAGGTGCTGTGAGGAGAGGGCAGTTAGAATATCATCCACTCTGGACCCCCGGAATCCCTGCCACGTCCTCCTTGTCTGCATGGCCACATGTGCACGGGAGCAGGGTGACGAGGGGCCCCCTGAGAATACAGTCTGCCGGGCCTAAGGATCTTACCAAACGGCCCCACTCTCATGCACAGACTCGCCGTTGGGAACTGTGGATCCCCTGTGGTAGCAGGGACAGCTGCTGGCCTGCACACATTTGCCTGAATCATCCAGGAAGGTGCCTGCAGGGCAGGTGCAGCCATCTACAGGGCTGAAGTTGACATGGCAGGTGACATCTTCCTCATTCAGAGCTCGACAGGTGTGCTGGCAGGTGCTGATGTGGTATTGGTAGGTCATCGACTTGGGGCAGGTAGTTGTAGGCTTTGCTGTATGGGAGCAGAAGGAAGGGGACACTTAGGACACTGGTGGACACATAGCCCAGCAAACAACGACAGAGGGTCTAACAGTTCAAGGCCTCTCAGCTCCCCGACAAGCTCCTGATTAGGGCTCTTAGTCACAATAGATTGGGTCTCCAAGTTTCAGAGACCGGTGTAGTGATAGGACCCTTAGAGCACCCAATCAGCTGCTAGGCCATAGGTGGGGCCCTGCCCTGTAGAGAACACGAGCCCAGCTTGCCCACAGAACACTCACTGCAGACGCCGTCTCTCCAGCCACTGAGCAGCACCCCTTTGGCGGCACAGGCATGCACATAGGAGGACAGGGCGGCACACATGCAGTCCTCGCTCTTCTCACAGTTGCACGTGTCAAACATGCAGTTCTGGGGGTGGGGACATCAGAGCATCAGGGAGCCAGCCTCACATCCAGGAGCCTGGCATCCGACTGGGATCCCCCCCCCACACACACACACACAACTCAACATATTTCCACCTTCCTTCCCTTCCTCGGGACACTGCCCATCCCCCATGCCCCTCTTGTTTGTTTTAGTGTTGGTAGCTCCCATGTAGCCAACCTTCCCTCTAGGACATGGATTCTGGGAAGAGCCTGGCCCTTTATCTCTGTGGCCCACCAGGTCCGGCCCCGAAACACTCTTGTCTTCCTTACTGTTCTGTTACTCGCATTTCTCAAAAGCTTCGTGTTTAGCCCTGTTTCTAGTGTAGACCGGAGGCTTGATCTAAACTCAGTGAACAATGGTGATTGGACACGTGAAGGAACGTGGATGTCAGGAATGGAATCCGAGAGACAGACTGGGAGAATATTCCTGCCACCTGCTGCCTCTCAATTGCCTCTCTCCAGAGTCCTCTGATCCTCCCAAAAGGGGACACACAAGGCAGTGTCGGAGTCCTAGCTAGCTGAAGAGCAGGCATTACCGAGTAGTAGGTGCTGGGGTTCACAGTGGTGTGGCACTTGGAAAATGGGCCGCTGGCATCAGTCAGCTGAGAACACCAGTGCTGAGCATACTTCTCTGTGGATGGAAGAGAATCCATCAGCTACTTAGTCATGCCAGCCCTGGCTTCCCCCATCTCGTGACATCTTGCATCTCTGTGCAGACAGACATCATGGGTGCTGAGTCATACTTCAGGTGACATCACGGGTATTACTGTGACACACACGAGGCATTGGAAAGCTATAGTCATTGTTTCTCTTCTTTCCTATGTCCCCAGAGCCCTCACCTCCTAGGAATGGGAATGGCCATCACCGTGGACAATAGTCAAGACTTCTGGACCAAAATACAGAGGCAAAGGGGGCAGTACCAGCTGATCCTGACCTGCACCTCCTCAACCCTACTTGAGGGCCGGACGGTGTCACATCACAACTACATTAGAGTCTTGTGTCCTTTCTTTGACCCTGAAGCAGGGCCCCTAATGTCCAATGCCCTGTGTGCATACTGCAGTGGGTGAGGTCCCTAGCCACCTGTGACTCTGTGCTGGAGATCCTCATGTCCTCGCTGCCAGCTGGTAGGCATGGGTGCTGGTCACCACTCTTTCCTGAGGCACCCACACTTGTCTCACTTGTGTTGTATGCTATAAACTGCAGCATTATATTTTCTAAAATACCGCTTGCCTTCAAGAAGACCGAGCTAAGGCAGGAGCTGAAGCCGAGTTAGCAATAAGCCTTGCAATCACTTAAGACATGGGACTCAAGTTACTGTCCTGCTGTGTGGTCAGCCTGTTCGAGAGAACAGTGTCACTGACCTGACTATACCTTGGATTTCCTCTGTAATTAATTAGCTTTACAACCTAAGTTAAATGTATAGTTTTAATCTTAAAGCATGTACTTCTCCATGCCCCTGACCCAGAATAATGAAAGTGGCAGCAACATTCAGACCCAGACTGATAGGGTCTGTGCTGTTTTGAGTGTGGTCCTGGGTCAGCTGGCGTCAGTAAAATAACTTTTTCTTTTGTAAGACTCTGCTAAACATTTCTATGGGAAAGAATCCTTCACTCGTTCCTCATGCCATATTTCCATGCGGCTCAATAAATATGGGGCAAAACCCTTTGTTATAGAGAGACAACATGGAGATCAAATACTCTAGACGGGCCTCTGACTACAGATTGTAGACAGATGGAAAACACCAGGAGAAAAATGGAGAATTCAAATTTAGTCGCTTTCAGTCAACCTTTTCCAAGAGGAAGCTTCCCTTTCTCACTCCTCAATATGACATCTACAGATTTTGGTGCCCTCTCTGGGTTTCTTTAACATGTGATTAACACAACACACTACATACTAGTTTGCCCACTCGCCGCCTCAGGGTAGACGACTGGACACCAGGCCAGGTCAGAGCTGGCTGAAAAAATGCTTCTTGGGGAGTAACCAGCTCAGAAACGGAAGCAAGTAAGCCAACCCCTGAGCACCCAACAGAACATAGGCTCACCATTCTCCACGCTGAGAGAGCAGGGGTCCTCAAAGATATTCTTGACGTTCGGACAAGCCGCCTGGGTCTTGAAGGTGTTGAAGAAGGCGGCTGCTGTGCCCTCCACAACCCCACTGATGGTCTGGAAATCGTCGGCCTGGATACTGTTGAAATTCCCACAGAGCCCTAGGAACAGGAGAGCAGGTTGAGGCCCCAGGTGGACTCTAGAATGGAATGGGCTCAGGTCCAGAGTCAGGGCCTCTTACCGCAGGTTAGACCCCTGAGCTCAGGTGCCAGCCGCACAAACACCTGCATGAGGGGCACCAGCTGGATCTCAAGCTGCAGACCCACGTGGGTCTCGGCAATGATGAAGAAGGTTGAAGGCCGGAAGAGGGTAACATTGGCTGTGGGCAGAAGATAGGAGTTTCAGGGTGGGGGTGTCCCATGGGATGGAGATACAGAGTTTAGGATCATAAGCAGCCCTCACCTGTAGACACCGGCAGCTGGGTATAAATCTGGTTCACAAAGACCTCTCCAGTGGCTTTTACCATGACCACCTAGAAGCAATGCCGGAGTCAACTGGGGTCAGTATGGAACCAAGGAAGTGTCTCCCAGCTGTCCCCTGGCAGCCCACACAGGCTGTGGCATGAGCTTGCTAGGTCTGGGAGGTTCTGGGCTACAAAGCTGTAGTCCCCATGTGGTTAACTTACGTCCCAAGATCTATCCCCATACTTTCCCTGATTTTCTAAACTTTGAAAAGAATCATAGTCTAAGTAATAGAAAACAGAAATTAATGTGTAAAAATAACTTCAGTGGGGTTGTATTGGATAAATACTTGAGTCCTCGTTTCTTGGAGCCGACTGGTACAATCACAAAAGCACCAGAGCCAAACAGTTGCAGTGTTCCACTTGAGGGTGGTCCCCAGAGAGGTCCACAAATAGTGGGTGCACTCTCTGATGGGAATGTGTATCCAGGCGACGGCCTGTGTGAACATGTCCCTCCCACCCGGCCTCAGGACCTGCCTCTGCTGGAGCTCCCCTCAGCTCCCCCCATGATACTCACCGTCTGCCCCCCACCCAGGCTCAGCGTCACACTCTTCAGACAAGTCTCGCTGTCTGTCAGTCCACACTTTCGAAGCTCAGCCAGCACAGTGAAGATATTGCTGTCACAGGGCTGCAGGGGGCGATACAGGTCCTGGCATACCACTCAAACCCCGGCCCACCGCACCTTCCCTCTCCTGCAATCCATGCTGCCTCCCCTTGCTGGAAATTCCTCATCCGCCACTGTCATAGACTCTAAGAAGCAGCCGTTTGATTTCAGGAGGAAGGGGCCCCTTAGAGCCCATGCCATGAGTCTCCCTAGCCCCTGTCAGGGGGCTTAATGCACCTACTGAGTACAAGAATTCTAAAAGAGAAGTTGGGAGGAAGATGGGGTAGGGGGAGTCAGACTGAGGGGAGTTGGGAGGGGGGAGGAGGTGGATGATTGAAATACATTGTGTCCATATATAAAATTTTCAAAAAATAAAAGTATTTTAAAAGAAAAACAGGTTTTTTTTAAATCAGTGGTTTCCAAGGTGGGGAGGGGGATGCTCAGGGGCAGTCTAGGGTGTCCAGCACGGTGAATACTGAGTGGCACTAGGGTAGTAGATACAGGACATTTCACATTTGTCACATCCTGGGGCATGCGCATGAGTGACCCTGACAGACACTGCCATGGATGTAATGGCTGATTGGTTACCAGTCGTAACCAAAATATCACACTAAAGCAAGATGTTAGTACAGGGAGACTGCTGGGGGTGGCGAGGCTTGGGAATTCACTGGGCTTTCTATTTCATTTATTTGGGGACATAAAACTGATATAAAAATAAGACGGGGCTGGAGAGGTGGATAGATGATTAAGTGTGTTCTGTTCTTGCAAAGGGCCCAAGTTCAGTGCCCAGCACCCACATGGTGGCTCCCAACCACCTCCAGGGAATCTGATGCCTCTTCCGGCCTCCATGGGTACCATGCTCATGTTCACACAGAGAGACACATGAATAGACAGAAGTGAAAGTATATACATAAAATAATAAGTCTCTTTAAGAAGACAAGATTAGAAGGGCCAAAGCCACGAGCAGGAGTCATGCAGCCCTAGAGGCCCCATCAACAGCCAAATGACCCCATGGAGCCCTGGGCCAATCGGCAGAAGTATTCCTTCAGTTTCACCACGAAGTTCCCGAGGTCTCCCTGGTGCAGGAGTGATGGGTGGCCTAGACTAGTGATAACTGGGGAGCCCCTCCCCCAAGTCAAAGGCCCCATCCAGGACAGCATAGGCCTCACCTTGCTCAGCACGTAGCTGCAATCCCCATGCACTGTGTACTGCCTTTCATCAAATGTGGAGAAGTGGGAGCCTCCCAGCACGGAGCAGGTGCCAGGGCACGGGATCTCCTGGCAGCTCCACCGCCCTCCAGAGCATGTGCTATGGGTGGGAAGAAGGACATACTGTGTACTGCTCCCAGGAACAGCAGTCCTGACATGTTTGCCATCTGGACTGAAGGCTTCTGCCCAGAGGGCATTTACCACAGCAGTCTGGGACCTAACCAGTCCACAGAGCCTGGGGAAGTAACCCTGGCATATGGCAGGCTCTTGAAAGGGGAGCTCAAAACCTACCACTTGGTGCAGTCAGTAGAGTAATTGGTACCAGGCGCATAAGACGTCCCATTGTACAGGCAGGCACACTGGGACACGGGAACACAGCCTGTCTGGTTGATGTCATCAAGCACCATTCCTATAGAAAGCAACCCCATGTGATAGGTGTCATCTAAGAGCCTCAGTAAACCCTGGCAGCACAGCGACACTTGGGGTAAGGGTCTTAGGGTCTTTCACCAAGGCTGAAGAATGGCAACATGACCACCCATGCAGCTGTGTGCTTTGGAGGTCCCGTGTCTAAACTGGTGAGGTAGAGACTCCATCTTACCCTTAGGACAGAAGCATCCAGCAATACAGTGATCCTCACAGACCTGGGAGCGCTGGGGGTTGGAGCAGGTGTCCACACAGGGTGAGCCACATTCCTGGTGTTGCATGTTGAGGGGGCATGTCTGAGCTGCAGGGAGACCAGAGAGAAAGCTCAGATCAAGCCAGGTCCCACTTCCCTGCTGGAGGATGCTCTGATGGTGGGGAAAGGGGCTGAGGGCACTTACAGCAGAGGTTGGGACCCCGCCAGTCCTGGGGCTTTCCTCCAGCATGGGCACACTGCCGGGAGTATTCAGCCACAGTTTGGCAGATACAGCTGGACAGGTCGGGGCTCTCACAGAGACAGAGGTCCTGCCTGCAAGCCTCCAGGTAGCTGCTGATGTCCACTAGGGCCGAGCAGTCTGAGAACAGCTGACTTTTCAGGATCTCTTCACAGATGCCCTGAACAAGGGTGGGGTCCATGCTGAGTTCAGACCCCAAGCTTCCCAGAAGCACCTGGGTTATCCCGGAGCCCAAAGCCCTCTTCCCCACTCTTCCCATCCATTTCTTTCAAGGCTCACAGATTTGGTGGAGCAGTTCTTCTGGGGCACAGGGAGGGGGTCCTGGCACTGCTCTGTGGGGCCGTCCATCTTCTGGAGGTTCCCAAACTCAAGAGGTGTCAGTCTAACATCTGCAGGAAGCCCAGAGCACATCTGTCTACAGATCCCAGGCCCCCAGCCCATCATCCCAACAGCCAAGTCCAAGCCCCCCCCCCCCCCCGAGAATGCCCCTGTGGTCCTGTGGTCCCTGCCTAGCTTCCCAGTCTCACTCCCTGAGATGCTGATATCTGGAACCCATGAGAGGAGCCTAGAAAGAGCTTGGCGTTCCTAGGGCAACAGGATTAAGGGAGAGAGACCTTAACAGATGCATAGCCATCAATCCTGGCCAACTGTGACGCAGCCCAGAGGACTGTAGAGTGAACCTGACATCCCCCCAGCCCTCAGACTCTGGCTGACCTTGCACACAGCCTGGCCTGACAGGGGCAGTCATATGCATAGGCAGACTCTGTCACCCACAGCTCATATGGGACTTGGGGGGACTGACTGAGGAGGGATGTTGGAGTATCTGGCTGATGAAGCCAAATTTGTGATGCCACTGGTTGGAGGTAAAGAAGCGTGACCCTCCCAGGGTGAAGAAAGAAGGAGGGTTTGTGTCCCCAGAATAGGGATACCAAGAACCAGTAGTCTGACAGATAGCTTGTTTCCTGTATACACCTATGGGGTGTATCAGCGTGCAAAGAGTGTGTATGCACACTAGTGTAGGTGTGTCCAGGTGTGTGTGTGTGCACTTATGCATGAGCTGTAATTGTGGGGAGGGAAGCCTGTGTGGATATGTGTGCCTGTGTGAGCAGCAGGGGTGTGTGTGTGTGTGTGTGTGTGTGTGTGAGAGAGAGAGAGAGAGAGAGAGAGAGAGAGAGAGAGAGAGAGAGAGAGAGAGAGACTAAACCTCCTGGGGTCCTTGCCTGGGGACTTACTGTGAGAGAGGAACTCACTGGACTCTGGACTGCCATTGAAGTCTCCACAGAGACCACAAGTCTTGTTGGTGTATTTGGTGTCCAACTCCAGCTGAAATTAAGGAGACATCAGACCCCTGACCCCACTATAGACAACCCAGGATGTGAACTATAGACTCTCAAAAAAAAAGGGGGTTAAGGGCTCCCAGAGGAGACACAAGCCAAAAGACCCTCCCCATAAGTCAAATGAAGCCACGACTCAGAAGCAAACACCCCTCATACACAGGACCTATGTCTGGGGGTGAAGACCCTGAGACTCTGTTGATGCTTGGATGCCCACCTTCACCAGCTGTGTGGCCTATGCCTCCTCTCCTTACCCACCGCCTCATCTCACTGAGAGGCTCCACCCATCACCGCCATTTTACCAGAAGACTCTGCCCACCCACACCCATCCCCATCCTCACCAGGAGACTGTCGTCATCATTCCACACGAAGACCAGGCCCAGCCTGGCCACCACCTTCAGGTAGCCGCTGCTGAGCTCAATGAGGACCCCAGACTGACTGAAGGGCAGCTGGACCCTGTAGAAGAGAGTAAGGATAAGGTACTGGGGGACAAGGAGACAAGAGAGCCCAGGTGACAAGATCCCTGCAGCCAGAGACAAGGGACCTGGAATGCCAGTATTAAGGAGTTGAAGGGGTAACCTGAGCATGGGGTAGGGAGTGCCTATTCATCTTCTCCCCTGAGAGTGGAGTCTCGCTAACAACCCCAGTGTCTCCCACAGACCCCTCACCACGCAGCACCTCCATCCCCCATTCAATACTGCCCCAGACTCACGGGTGGTTGTTGACTAATATGGAGCTCTTGGTCAGCTCAACAACTAGGCCGTCGAGCTTCATGATGACCCTGCTCAGAGTGGTGGAATTAGACTCCCGGGCACGGCGTAGCTGGACATTGAAGTCCTCATAGGCATCCCCACAGTGTGCAGAGAAGACATAGTTGCAGAGGCCAGGGAAGCGGAAGACCTGGCCATCAAAGGTCTTGTAGTGGAAGTCGCCCCATGTGCTGCACACCCTCCCGGTATGTGCTGGGTTGAGAGCTGCGGACCGAAGCAATGGCAGGCTTTGGAGGCACTGTTCTGGGCCCTGTTATGCCCTCTGTGTTCTACATCGGGCATCTGTTTTCTGTGTGCCACTGGGATCGGACAGGCTGCTGCCTCCTGTAGATCTAAGATCCCATCTGATGCAGGAAGCCCTGGGACCAGCTCACGGCAACTTTGAGTGTCCCCCAACCTTCCCCATGCTTATTGGCAGCCAGGAATCAGGGACCTCTTTCTAAACTAGCTCTTCAGGTCTAAGGGTGAGTACTCCTGCTAAGAGGAGCCACTTCCCCAGATAGACTTTGGGGCTCACTCACCTTGTACCACGGGGATGGTCTTCAGAGGTGGGATGATGGTCACCCCATGGAGTGGGACAGCTGTGGAGACAGAGGCTTGAATCATGGGATGCACACAGCCTTGAGTGAGGTTTTGGGGTCACTGTGGCCCAGAGGAGAGGGCCCAGGGTCAGCAGAAGCAGACTCCCAGGTCTCCAATTCAGGTTAGGTCCTTCTCTTCTCTCACTATCCCCTGGGGACCCCTGGATTCATCAGCAAATAGTGGCCACAGAGCCCAGAAACTTCTGTTTGCACATAGGAATTTATGTCCTGATCCTCACAAATGCCTGGATCTAGGTCAGCAGCTCAACCTCTCAGGCCCCCCTCCCTTTTTACCCCATTTGGGGAATGCAAACTTCAAGGTGCTGGCTGGCCCGCAACGCCCCACCAGACCCCTTGCGTTGGCATGTGTGCCAATCCCTCAGCTCCTAGGTCACGTGAATGTGATGCTGAAACAGGTTAATCAAACCAAGAGAGATGGCGGTAGGCTCTGCGCAGGTGGAACAATGACCTTGTGCTGCAGAAGGCATAGCCTCCCCAGGCAGCCTGACACACCTTCTGCATCTCTCTCAGAGCCTGAGCCTGGATGCCTGTGATGCCACCAGGGGCTGGATCAACAGTCATGTACAACAGGGTACACCTCAGCTCCAAGTTCTCACTCCTCAGTGTGCTAGCTGAGGAGCCATTAAGGCAAGAAATCCTGGGGGACCCAAGGTCACATTAAGGTAGAGTTGGGAGGGATATGGCAGGTATAGTGGGGACAAAAGGCTAGGACTTACCATCATGCCTTTGAAGGAGAGAGAAGTCAGAGTGAGGCTCTTGGGCAGATTTCAGAGTGTCCTGATGGGCCTGGCCTGCAAAGAGGAGATGGGCCTGAGCTGAGAAGAGAGCAGGTGCCTCAGACAGCCCAGGCTGCTGGCCCTCCGTGTGCAGATGGAGGGAAGGACATAATTAGCACTCATCAATGGCCTGAAGCACAGAATCACCATGATGGCGGGTGAATGGCCCACCCCCATACCTACACAAGAGGGTTCGAGCGAAGTTGTGACTGGCCTTTGCCTGAACTAAGTCTAGTTTCCTGGTGCCTGCATCTGTTACAAGGCTGTGCTGAGAGAAAACCACATCCCCAGGACACCCTTCTGGGCCTACAACATATACAGCCCATGGTGTCTTGAGCTTATGACAGTCCAAAGAGGTTGTGCGCTGGTAAAACTGTCACAACCAGGGCACACGAGATGGTTGAGAACCTGCTATGACCAGCTTGGGGGGCTCTGAGACACGCCTTCTGCTCCCTCCACATTGGATGCCAACCTCAATCCCTGGCACTTAGAAGTACTCCTTGCCTCTTAAGTCAGAGACCATTTGAAGTTGTCAGGGCTCAGGCAAGGGCTGCATGGCAGGACCCTCGTACAGATAATTTAGCTGCCAGGACCCAGATAAGACTCTGAACTACACTGCCCACCTGAGTCCAGGGCATGGGGGAAGGAAAATGTCTCTCCAAATGGCCTGGGAAAGCTGGACACTTTGACTCTTACCTGTGTGTTGACTGCAAGTCAGGGCCAGGGCTAGGACCCAGAATGGGACCAGCTTCCTCCGGCCAACACCCATGCTGTGGAGCATGGGGCAACGTCCCCACTGGTAGGTTCTGAGGACAGACTCAAGTCACCAGCTGCCTTTTGTAGTCTGAGAGCTGGCTCGAGCACCAGTGGCTTCAAGTTGGTGGGCGGGGCAGGCCTATCATTCCCCTCACCCAGGTAAACAGTGGGCACTCAGTCACTTTAGGCTGGTCAGTGGCAGCAGTCAGAGGTGGGTGTGTCTGCAGGTGGAGTCTGGCTTCCCTGAGGTTCCTCCAGGTCTGACCTGTGTAGTCCTCTCCAAGCAGCCTCCCCCCACCCCCAACAGACCTACCCAGGCCACTCTAACCAATGAGTTCCTGGTACCACAACAGACACATCTTCCAGACTGAGAAAAAGCTGCCTCTGAGACTACCGCAGGGCTGTTCTGGGCAGTCATTCCCTCTTTCCTTGGAGAGAAGCTCTCTGTGTGTGTGTGTGTGTGTGTGTGTGTGTGTGTGAGAGAGAGAGAGAGAGAGAGAGAGAGAGAGAGAGAGAGAGAGAGAGAGAGAAAACACTTCACATATCACAGGAGTGTGGAGCCTCAGAGGAATTATGGCTGAGTGAGTGAATCAATGAGCAAATAAGTCAGTGAATGAGTCAATAAATGAGTGAATGAGTGGATCAATCAATGAGCAAAGTAGATGAATGAATGAATGAATGAATGAGTCAATGAATGAATGCAAAAGTGAGTGGACAATTGAGTAAATGAATGGATGGATAAACCAATCAGTCGGTGAGTGAGGATGGGTGAATGAATAGATCCGTAAATGAACAGGTGAAGAATGAATGGACTATTTGAGTGAATGGGTGAATGAGTGAGTTGAAGGATGAATGAATGAGTGGGCACACAGGGAAAGGTGTGGGAGGTCATGGGATATATGAGCAAAGCCCCAGCAAAGGCTGGGGCTTAGACACATGAAACCCCCGCCCTGCCCCAACCACCAACTGTTGCAGAGCTGGGACTGACCTTGGCACTGAGCGCTGAGCCTGGAGAGGAGAGGGTGGGGAAGAGTAGCTTGCTGTGGGGCAGGCTAAGTGGCCATGCTGGCCATGGCTGGATGGGTAGGCCATGTTATAGGAACCAGTTTCAATGAGGAGGCCATAAAGAGCTGCAGGCAGTGACCAGTCCCAGACTGGGGTAAGTGCACAACCATGGCTATGCCTTCCCCCACACCCTTGGCAACAAGGCAGGAGGCTCCCGGATGAGCAGTGTCTATGGCCCTAGCACAAAGAAACATGTCCAAATCACGTCCTGACCCTCTGGCCCTCTGAGTTATCAACCTGATTTTGATGGGTATCACATCATGTCAGAGACTGCGTTGAACCACAGTAAGCTGATCCCTTGACCAGCTCACAGACCAGACAGACCATCTCTAGGCCTTGGCACACAGGATCCAAAGGGCTGCTCTGGGGATTAGGCCCATGTGACTGCCTAGCCCTGTTATGGCCGTGTGGGTACTGAGTTTCCTTTAGTACCCAGTTCTGGGTACTTCAGCCACTGGGCATCAACTACCAGGTTTATTGACGGTTCCCATGTAACTCCAACCTAACTGAATCCCAGTTACAACCAGTACTCTCCCTGAAGCTTAACGTCTCAACACCAAAGATTCAATTCACAAATCCACCCTGTAGGCTCCAGTGGCTTCTGTCCCACGCCCACACCTTTAGCCCCACTCTGACCCCTCAGACCCCAGTCAGTCTGGCTGGCTTCTTGCCCCTTCTTCCACCCTGGGATGGAGCCTGCTCTGCTTCTGATCCAGGGCAGGCACAGCAGCAATGGCTCAACCTAGAAGCCAGTCAAGCCTGACTTGTGGGATGGATCACTGGTGGTGGGGGTCTGTGCTCAGCTGCTGGAGCCTCACTGTCCTAAAGGACATACAGCAAGGACACTGTGCACACAGAGGCACAGGGGCCATGGGGCTAGGGCAGTGATCCAGAAGCCTTCCTTTCTTGGCCCCTGAGGCCACTCGGTTCTAGGGCTGGGCCTGGGCTGGGCTGGAGCCCTTCCTTGAAGAGCTGATAAGTGAATGGCTCATTGCAGTCCAGAGAGGAAGGGCTGGGATTACACCCCAGCTGTTGCCATGGAGTTAGGGAAATGTTAGGGACCAGAACAGGACAGAGCATCACTGTCACTTTGTTGTCTGGCTACTGGCCCCACCTCTGCCCCACACACACACACACACACAATGTGGGACAAGAAGCCAGCATCTGTTATCCCCTTGATCCTAGCAGGTCAGCCTGGTGATTCCGTGGGGATTAAGTCTCATGCAGCTGGACCACTTTGGGATCAGCCTGACAGTAAGGCAAAAAGCAGCCAGTTTGGACAGCCTGGTGAATTGAAGGTGTGGTTGGAAGTGCCAAGACTCCTAGACCCTCACACAAAGAACCCTCATCTGCAAGTCTAGCCCGGCCTTGGAGGATGCTTTGAGTTCTCCAGGGGACAGTATGCTCATTCCAGCTCCCTCCCCTTCCTACCCCAGGAACTTCTAAGGCAAAGCCTGGGGCCTGCACCCACTTAACATTAAGGTATCAATCAGACCCATTCTACCGCCCCGCCCCCAGCCCTGACACAGCCTGACTCTCAGCCCAGCCTGTCACTGGTCCATATGAGCTGGGTAGGGCCTCAGATCTCAGCATCTGGAGCTCCAGGGCTCACATTTCCCCACTGCCCACACTTGTCCCTTCCAGTTTCTAGGCAAAGTCCCGGGGCCCTCAGATCAGCCTGATTCAGAGAATCCATGTGCCCTGCAGGGCAGACCTGAGATCCCTCAACCTTCTTACTCCTCCTCAGCGGTGAGTGGTTAAGGACTTCCTGGGAAGCCAGAGATGCACTTTGTCTTATGGTTTACTTCCTGGACAGAAGATGGCATTCTGTATTATGTGGCCTGGACCAGCCCATTGTCCTCTCCGTGCCTGAGTCCTCATCTGTAAGAGCAGCTGTACCGTGAATACCAGAGTCTCTGTGGGCACAGGACCCTCTGCGCTTGCTCCTGGTCTCTGGGAAAGGCCTCAGTGGCAGTGCACCACTGTGCCCCCCCCCCCCGGAGATTTCCCAGAGACTTGAGGCTAACCAAGAGACTAGAAAGTGTTCCTGCATCCTCATCCACAGAGCAGAGCGGCACTTCCTAGCCTGTCATTCTGGACACAGGCACAATCACAGCACATAAAAAAAAAAAAAAAAAAAAAAAAAAAAAAAAAACCACAGGTTTTATGATCCTGACGGTTTCTCATCCAGTCCTATCCCATACTTAACCATGTGTTGCATGAGTGTCCTGAAAGCCTGGGGCTGAGCTGAGCCTGCTGCCAAGTTCAACTCTGATTACAAAGTTGCCATTTGGGGGGAAAGTGCATCTTCCTGTTTGATTGGGCTTTGTCGGGGCTTTATGCAAAAGACTGATAGTCCATTGTTCAGAGGGGGCAGAGAGGAAGTAGCACCAGCTGGGGAAGGGGACGGCCCTGGAGTGGTTACGTAGCTTTGCCACTTTCAGGAACTGCCTCAGGTGTTGACAGAAGGGGCAGGCTTCCCAGCGGGTCTTTACTAAGCCAGGAACTTCCTTGATAAGGGAGAAAAGCATCTTAAATTTCTCCAGGTTTATTTGGAGGGGCCAACGGGAAAGAGGTGGTGAAGCAATGATCATGGGAGTGCTGTTTCATCCTGCCCGGAAGGAACTGGGGCCAGGAACTGCACCCCAACATCAGAGGTAAAAGGAATAGCGTCAATTTGATTTTGCGGCGGGGCTGCCCTGATTCGGAGCATTCCTGTGCTTGTTTGTTTCTCTGAATCATTAGGCAAACAGAATTCCTCCCAAGATCTGGCCAGGCAGCTGAAGGAAGTCCTAAGCCCTCTGGTTCTGGTACTGGCCAAAGGACCAGTGTTTTGGCAGAGTCCACAGCAAGGACCACATAGATGGCTGCTGAAAGTGGCCAGTGCCAGCCTCCCACATGGCTGGTACTCCCCATACCAACTTCTGCTTGTCTAGTTTGAGAGCGTATAGGGCTTTCTCCTACTGTCCCTGAGAGCTGAACCTCTCTTGCCCTACAGCCCTTCATTCCTCTCTCTTTTGGCCTCTGGTTACCTGTCTCCTGGGCTCCAGGCAGTTTAAATGGAGCCCCTAGAGAATGTGAACCTGAAGATAATTTACGAGACAGAAAAGACCCTGAGGCAAAACACCAGGCCCAAATCCTCCTCTGGAGCCATCAATGAGCCAGTCAGGCCAACCCTGAGAGCCACTGGGTCTATGACAGTCAAGGGGACTTTGTTGGTACTATCCCCTGATCACACCCCTCTACGCTGCTACTCCCCCACTCTGACCTGAGGGTCCTGGCCAGGTTGCTTGCCCTCTCTGGATCACCTCTTACTAAGCCTCGGGGGAGAGAAGGGAATATTCCCTTACTGGCTCCCCAGACCTAGGCCCCAACCAGACTAATGGGGCATGGATAGCTGCTCTGACCCTTTGGACAGAAAAAGAACATGAGTTCAAGTTGCATTCTACACAGTGGGTCAGGAGGACATTTTCCTCAATAATTCATCACATCCGGGGGCTAGGAAGACAGTCGGCAGAGTACACATCAGGCAAGCATGAGGACCTGCCTGGTGTTTGAGTCCTCTGCGCCTTCATTAAAAAAAAAAAAAAAAAAGCCTGGCAAACATAGAAACCAGCCCTGGGAAGTCAGGGACCCGAGGATCCCTGGAGCTTGCCACCAGCAGACCTGATAGAATCAGGGACTCTAAAATCAGCAAGAGACCCTGACTCAGAAACTCAACTTCAGAATGATTGAAAACACTTAAAACAACCTGTGGTCTACACACAGATGCCTGTACACACACACACACACACAATTGTATCCACTGAAGTGTGTATTCATAGGAAAGCACTGCTCTGGATACACACCCAGAACAATGGAAGTGATCTCCAAGAGACTCTTGCATATCCAGGTTCATGGCAGCACTACTCACAGGAACCAAAATCCACTGGTACATGCACAAGACATCCTGTATCCATTATCCAGAA